ATGAGAGTGAGAATGCGCGGGCTGATGTTATTGCCTGTGCCGCTGGTAACAAAACGGATCGGCTCGGAATCAGAAAGAAGTGAGACTGACGGACCAATCACCGATCCGGGCTGATCATGAGGAAAATCGGCCGATTTCGATCCCTGGCCGATCGATCGGTGCATCTCTAAATATGACATTTAAAACTTAAAAAACGTAAACAAAAATGTAAAAGTTTTCCTTTTGTAGTTGCAATAAAGCTGAAATAAAATAAAATATAAATATTAGATAATATTAGGACATTTGAAAACTTGCCTTGGCAACTACATTAAATATATACTGAAACTGAAAAAAACAAAATACTGAAACTAAAATAAATGTCTGAGTAAGTACTAAATCACTAAAACTGAAATAAAAATAAATTAAATCTAAATAGAATTACTTAAAAATGAAAATTAATAAAAATGATAAAACCACAAAACTAAATTACTAAAACTAAAATGAAAACTGAAAATATAAAAATACTAGCTAATTCAAAATACATATAAATACTATTATAATATATAAATAATACTAAAATAAAACTCCTTTTCATGGAATTGATTTAATTTGGTAAAATGTGTTAAATGGATCTAGGAGTACTATACTTTTACAGGTAACTGAAATCATTGTCAAATTTGACAAAATCAAAAACTGATTAGTTTAAGTTGAAGTACAAAAAATTACTAAAATGAAAAATGAAATAAAAATAAATTCAAGCTAATTAATTTTTTTTAAAAAACTGAAATAAAAATAAATTAAATCTAAATAGAATTACTTAAAAATGAAAATTAATAAAAATGATAAAACCACAAAACTAAATTACTAAAACTAAAATGAAAACTGAAAATATAAAAATACTAGCTAATTCAAAATACATATAAATACTATTATAATATATAAATAATACTAAAATAAAACTCTTTTCATGGAATTGATTTAATTTGGTAAAATGTGTTAAATGGATCTAGGAGTACTATACTTTTACAGGTAACTGAAATCATTGTCAAATTTGACAAAATCAAAAATTGATTAGTTTAAGTTGAAGTACAAAAAATTACTAAAATGAAAAATGAAATAAAAATTAATTAAAGCTAATTAATTTTTTTTAAACTAATGAAAGTGACAAGTCACAAAACAAAATGGCTATAATATATAACTATATGCTATAATAATTTATAAATAATAAAAAAATAATAGATTTTCAGGGAATTAATTAAATAAGATTAAATGTGTTAAATCGATCTGGGAGCACTATACATTTAACAAAAAAGAAAAGTCAAATTAGCCAAAACAATTAATAAATAAAAACTTAAAGGATGTGTACAACTGACAAAAAAGACTTAAACTAAAATGAAACAAAAAACTGAAAATATAAAAATAAAAGCTAATTCAAAATATGAATAAATATTATAATGGGATAGAAATATTAATAAAACAACACTGATGTGATTAGACGTATATTAGATTTTGAGAATTATGAGAAAAAAGTCCTTATGTGAAAACCACGACTCAAGCAGTTAAGTTAAAAACAAAATAATGCTTTAAATGAACATTTAACCATAATTAATCAAGTTTTTCTCTAACCTGCCAGGAGAGCGTGAATATTTAGGCCTCGGTCCTGGTCCTCTGGGCTACACACATCCATCATGTACGCATGACTGGGGTTGTCCGCCGAGTCGGCACTGAAGTCCATCAGAACCACACCGCACACCGTCAGCACGATGCCCCACTTGTGATCCAGGGTGGTGTCCGCCACAGCCGTTCCAATGTCCCGTCCATTCAGCACCAGTGTTAGACCCAGCAGAGCCCCTGCAAACACACCAAAAGAGCAACATCAAAGCATTTTAAATTAAAAATGAAACTCTAGTTTCAGTATCACTCCAAAGAGAAAGGAAAACTTGCAATCGCATCATATGACCCCTTTAAAGGATTAGTTCACTTCTAGAATGAAAATTTGCTGATAATTTACTCACCCCTATGTCATCCAAAATGTTCATGTCTTTCTTTCTTCAATCGAAAAGTAATGAAGGTTTTTGAGGAAAACATTCCAGGATGTTTCTCCATATAGTGGACTTCAATAGTGGCCAACGGGTTGAAGGTCCAAATTGCATTTTCAATGCAGCTTCAAAGTGCTCTACACGATCCCAGCCGAGCGAAACAATCGGTCATTTTCTAAAAAAAAAAATTAAAATTATATACTTTTTAACCACAAATGCTTGTCTTGCACTAGCTCTGCGATGCACATGCGCGACTTCACGCATTACGTAATCACGTTGGAAAGGTCATGCGCGGTTAGCTCTTCGTCTGTGTACTTTCCTCTAACTTCAAAATCATCCGACATCATTGTTTTATCTTTTTTTGTAAATGGCGTTTGACTTTCTTTGCACGTTCACTTTGTAAAGACTGGGTTGGTATTTCCGCCTACGTCACGCGTGACCAACGTGATTACGAATTGCATTATGTTGGGCTGGTGCAAGATGTACATTTGTGATTAAAAGTATATACATTTGTGTTCTTAGAAAATGACCGATCGTTACGCTAGATAAGACCCTTATTCCTTGTCTGGGATCGTGTAGAGCCCTTTGAAGCTGCACTGAAACTGCAATTTGGACCTTCAATCCGTTGGCCAACACTGAAGTCCAAAAATCCTGGAATGTTTTCCTCAAAAACCTTAATTTCTTTTCGACTGAAGAAAGAAAGACATGAATCTTGGATGACATGGGGGTGAGTAAATTATCAGGAAATTTTCATTCTGGAAGTTAGCTAATCCTTTAAAGAGCAAACAAAGAGATCAATTAGTGAAGTTTGCAATAACTAAATTCATACTTCTTACCTATTGCCAGGGCAAAAATAAAAGGTCTCCTGCGGCCAAAGCGAGACGTACATCGGTCACTCCATGCCCCAAGAATTGGTTGCAGAAGGAATCCTGGGAATCATAAAAGAAGACAGACAACTTTACTGGCTAAATGTTGGCTTTAAAAAACTTGAACTTGACAGTGCTCATTCGCTTATACATTTTCATATTCAATACAGCGGCCAGGATCCCAACTAACGAAGAGCATTCTCACAACTTTAATGAATGTTTTTTAAAAGTTATAAAGGTTAGGACAAAATGTTTTTAAAGTAATGTTAATGGAACATTCTTCTTAAGAGAAAACATGTTATTTCTACCTGATGAATGTTCTTATAATTTTGAGAGAAAACATTCTTAGAATATTAAGAATAAACATTCAAATAACATTATATCTTGGGTAAGAATAAAATTAGCAGAATGTTGTAAAAAAAAAACTTTTTTGTAACCTTTAAATAACATTATAATCATGTCAAGAAAACTGGACATGTCAAAGTTTTTAAACATTTCAAAACATTGTTTGTTTTTATAACCTAAATTTATTACCTAGGATATTCTTCAAAACTACATACCTAAAATTGGACTGATGAACCACACAAGACTGTAGAACTGGTCGGGCAACCCCATCTGAAGAAGCACAGGCGTGACGTACGCCGTTTCCATCGCGTAGCTGAACTCGATCCCAAACAAAATGCAGCCATTGAAGAGAAGCTCGGGGAAAGTGCGTCTCGGTGGAAGTTCGCTCAGGTCGAGCTGTTCCAGGGGGCACGGCGTGTTCGGCGGCGGCGGCGGAGACGGCCTGATCAGTTTCCGTCGCTTCGGGTGCCTCTGGAAGTTGTTGGCTCTGTGACTGAGGTGCCGTGTGGTGGACGATGGGAAACTGGACGTTTTGGATAGAGTGGGTCTCCAGGTGCCTTCCTGGGCAGTCCCGAACTTCCCCCCTACAGGACTGGACAGGAGGGGGTCGCTCGGGGTGCCCATTCCAGGAGATGACATTCTGCTCACACTAAAAGGGAAAAAGACAGGAAAAAGCAGTCTGTTGCTGCTGCAGCACAGTGCCAGCTGTACAAAGCACTCTTACACGCTTCCAAAAGATGGTTTTCACAGTGATGCCCTAGAAAGAAGAATCATTTTCAGTAAACAGTTCTTTAAAAGAACTATTTTTTCTTAGTTCGAACCCAGCTAACAAAAATATGTTCTTAGAACATTTTGTTAACATTCCCATTAAAGCCCCGTTCACACCAAGAACGATAACTATAAAGATAAGTTTGTTTGTTCGTCCAGCGGACGATATCGTCTGTTTCTTCTAAGCGCACGCTCATCTGTCGCTTTAAATTCTCGAGCTCACTATAGCAGGATGGATTCTGATTGGGTGTCAGTGTTTGTATCGTTAATCGGTTGGAACAAAGCATTCTGAAAGTGATTCAAACGATATCGTTTCTCTGTGCCTTTATTGTTATAGCTGTGGTGTGGACTCTTGAGACCGATTTTTAGAACTATATCTTTATAGTTTTTTTTTTTTTAATGTTTTATAAAGTTTTTTTCTTGGTTATGCGAACATTAAAGGAACATTCCAGTTTTACCATTTTGCAAGCGTCATGGAAACAATTAAATGTTCTCTGAACGTTCAAAACATCCATTTTTAAATGTTTTAAGAACATTTTTTCTCGGTTATACAAACGTTAAGGGAACATTCCAGTTTTATGGGAATGTCACTTTTGAATGTTCTCTGACACAAGTAGTAACAGTAACACTTAAAAAAATGTCAGATGAACATCCATCTAAATTGTTTTAGTAAAAAAAAAAAAGTTCCATGAGTGATGTGTAAATAATGTTTTTGTGTTAACATTTTGAGAACATTATGAAAGACCAGATAACTCTGAACCAACATTCTATTAAAGTTACTGCAAGAACATTTGTTCATAACTCTGAGAGAACCTTGCAGGCAAGTATAGCCAAAGTTCTGAGAACATTCCTTGTCAGCTGTGAAGAACAGATTCTTTTATTTTTCCACAATAAAGAACCTGGAAAGATTCCATGGATGTTAAAGGCTCCTTATGGAACCAGCAATGCTAATGAAGAACCTTTATTTTAAAAAATGTAGGTCATGGTGACATTGAGACAGAGAGCAAAATAACACAATTACTTGAAAAGCATCACAATAGCGGTTTTATACATCAAATTAGCAGTGAAGTATGTGCTGAAGCGCCATTGCTTTAAAGAGGTCAGTGATATGACACTTCTTCTTCTCCCCTCGTGGACACGACGTACTGCAACCAATGCGCAGCTCCACTGACAAGATGCGCATTGCACATGTGGTCTCTCCATCACTTCTTCTTCTCCCCTCGTGGACACGACGTACTGCAACCAATGGGCAGCTCCACTGACAAGATGCGCATTGCACATGTGGTCTCTCCATAGCTGAGGAAGCAAAACGCATAACTGCAGCCTCGTTCCTGCACACTTCTGAGAAATGCGCGAGGTTATCTCTATTATGCGAGAGTAAAAAGCGCACATAATCGTTGATTTATAAAAAATGTTTAATTATGGATGAAAAGAAGGATGCTTGCATGGAGAGCTAGACGTGTTTATTTTCTGTTTGACCACACCGGCTGCACTTCAGCGGTGTAATGATCACCCTAATCTTCCGCGTTCAAGGTAAAGATTATACAATCGACTCCTCATGTGTTCTTTGTGAGAGGCGTGCCGCGGATGGAAACAGAAATGTTACCTTTATCCGGGATGCTCTTCATGCATTACTGGCTTGCAAACAGCAGACGGAAGGACGCATCATGTTGACGCCGCTGTTTAACGTTTCGTGTTTTTGCGTGCTTTCTGGCGCGGTCATTTCTCAGTTTTTATCGTGCTCCTCCGGTCTTGCCCTGTTCTCGCATCTCTCTTCCTCCCGTCCATCGGCTCTCCCGCGTGACGTCACGGCATCGCCCCTCCCGTCCCGCGCCAATCTGCAGCATCAGCATCAACTGAAAACTGACACCCGTCTAAAATACTTTAAAAGCCATGTGGACCTTCAAGATGTCATCCTGCATTGATTATTTATCATTTTCACTTTTGTCAAACCAGATAACAAAAAATATGTTCTGAGAACGTTCCCATTAAGTTATGAAAACGTTATTTTTGATTGCTCTCTGAATTTTCAAAACGTTTTTATTTACTATTTTAAGTGTTTTTTCTTGTTTATATGAACGTTAAAGACGAAATTAAGGGAACGTTTTATTTTATTGTTTTGCAAACATTAAGGGAATTTACTCTTGAATGTTCTTTAAACCACCTAAAACTGGTAAGTGGGAACGTTTATGAAACGAACGTCCATGTAACATTATATCAAAGACCAGATAACTTTGAATGAACGTTCTATTAACGTTACTGGAAGAACGTTCGTTCGTAATTTTGAGAGAACCTTGCCAGCACGTTTTATATTAGCTGGGAATATGATTTTCCATTTATTTTGATATTCATGATGTTTAATTATAAACAGAATATTTTAAAAATACAGAATATTATATGCAGAGGTGGACCAAGTACACAATTCCATTACTTGAGTGAAAGTACAGATACTGCTGGTCAAATATTAGGCTATACTCCATTACAAGTGAACGTTGCAAAGATAGATTTTTACTTAAGTAAAAGTAAATTTTTTAAAAGTAATTTCCTTTTTTATGTCAATGCACTGCATTGTTATTGTTGTATGTAATACTTGCAACCTTATGCCTCTGAAGCAACTTACAATATATTATACTGAATACACTATAAGTAACCTTGAAATAAAGAGCTTTTAGAATGTTAAAAAAAAAGAAAAAATATATATATTTAACACCCCTACCCACCCACACAAAAGCAGGAGGGTAGTGATCATCTCACACAGCTCTGGCAGTGTGCACACATGTAGCCATTCATCTACATTTGAACCGTGTTGACAGTGAAATCGCTGTAAATACAAACTGATAGGGAAAAAAACTGCTTTAAAACCCAACAACACAACTGTAGCTGTAACTTTACAACAGCAACACTGCTTTAACAAAAAAGCAAGATTTATTTGATATCAAAACATACATTCAAAACTGCTCTCTCGCTCTGGTGGTACTTTGATACACAGAACTGTCCAGTGCTGCTTCAAGTCAAACACTTATTGTGTTTTGGAGACGCACAACAGTTCTTCTGTGGCTTTATAGGTAATATTTTCGTTTACACAATTTTGCAAAATCAGACAATATATATACCATAATATTAACTTCTTATTACTGAATTGTTGTAAATAAATATCACATTTGTATCTGGTCAGTGTTCAAAACATGCTGGGAAATCACTTCACATGGCCCTAGAAGAGTGATTACTGATAGACTGTCTGAAAAAAAAGTGTACTTTGAGTACAATCCTCAAGTAAATGTAGGCCTACTTCGTTACTGTCCACCTCTGATTATAGGCCTATGTATGTGTTGAATGGAGCATATTATTTCCCCTATTTATAAATAAGTGAGTAAACATTACTTACATTGACATTATGAGATTTGTTTTTATTATTTTATTTTTTATTTACATTTTAAGCAATTTTATTTTGTGTTGAAAGAGCTGTTATTGCGGACTGGCAAACCAACACTATTCTGAAGTCAATGATTTACTATACACACAGAAACTGAGTAAAATACCTTAAGTTTTTTTTCTTTCTTTCTTGGTCTGTATTGATTATTGAATGTAAATCATTACAACGTTCAAATGAAGACTGGAATCTGACCTTTGACGTACAGATAAACCACACCCTAAATGATCTTATAGAAAAGGCCGTGATGAAGCTGGTATGTGTTTGCAGTACACAAGCCACGGTTAAGACAGCTGACTCCACTTTGATGTGTCTAGCTCTCTCTCTCTCTCTCTCTCGCTCGCTCTCTCGCGCACCATCAACACTAACTGCGGTTACTGAAATCACGCCTTCTTTCTTTGCTTGAACATTTGGGCGGCATTATTCTAATATTTCCACATAGTGACGTAGATATGTGGGGGCGTGTTAGAACCAGCCGTTTTAGGGGGGCGTGGCAGAGTCTTAACTTTGATAAAGAATATCTCTTTGGTTTTGAGACTTTAGTCTTTGCAACTTCAGGGATCTTATCTATGCACAATCAGCTTGTAACACTCCAAAGAGAAAGAAAAACTTGAAATCGCATCATATGACCCCTTTAAAACTGATCTTGGGCTTTAAAAAACAAAAAAAACAATGTGTGTGTTATTCATAGAATCAATTTACATTTAGAAATATTGAGTTTGTACTGGGAAAAAATATATTCGGGGCTTTAAGATAAGATGTATTGTTGCATAAATAATCACACAGAGTTGCCTTTGTTATATTTATGTAATATGTCCCGCCCCTCGAGCGCATGGTTTGAATCCCTGACGGTTGATTGTGATTGGTCGATACGCCTGTCGCTCACGCCATGTCTTACACAAGTGGGCGTGTGTATATAACAGCGGCGCGTTTGTATCATAGACTGTATGGTTTGTATGCTTGTGTAAAGTGTAAAAATCGCTGGAGGAAACAAGGACGAATTTTACACCTGAAAGCAAAAAATAAACACTAAGAAAATGTCATCCGTGAATCTGACCAGCTTAGGAGCCAACCAAGTGAAAAACACCACGTCTGGAGAGGTAATAATTCACACGCAATGTTTCTATAAGTCATAATGAGCAGACTATGCAGTGCTATGTTCATGTGCAAACTGTCAATGAATGAATTCCTAAACTTAAATAGTACTAAAGAAACCTGGTTCTTGAAAATAATACTTATTACGTTATATTCAAAACTTTTAAATAACAATCTCAAAGTATTTTCATGGAAAATGAAGCACTTCCTGTTTTAATGATTCACAGCGTGTCAGCCCTCTATATCATGACTTTGTAAATTAAAGTAATGCCGTTTTTCCTCTTGATTGCATGAGTTCTTCTCACACTGCACCTGTTAAGATGTAATTGATGTTTTTAAAGTGAAGACCCTTGGGAACAGTTTGCTTGATGTGATATAAACACACTCCAGGCGTAAATGAGAACTCGTTCACTGCTTGCAGGTGTCAAATGCAATGATGAAAACACATTCAAGTCTTTATAATGTAAACAACACTTCAAACCTAAGCAGTAGGGGGTTTCTTTTGGGGGTTTCTTGTTCTAATTGGGTACCTGTACTGTAGTGTCTTTTAAAAATATTTGAAAAAATCAATTATCAAATATTGAATATTATTAAATTAATATGAAATATAATACTTTTAAACATTATCTATGTAATAGATTTGCCTTCTGAAATATTAGATTTTTTTGTACATTTTCAAAGGTATATTTTTCAAACCATATAAAACATGCATGTGACTCACATTTCTGTCTCACGCTTGAGGTATTCGGCCAATCATAACGCATTGGATAGCTGGCCAATCACAGCACACCTCGCTTTTTCAGAACGATGAGCTTTGTAAAAATCGACGCATGAAACAATAGAGGAGAAACAATAATGTACAGTATGTGGAAAATAATGTGTTTTTTTAACTTTAAACCGCATAAACACATTTCATTACACCAAATACACAAAATAATGTTCTTTTTAGCAGCATCATATGACCCCTTTAAAGGCTTATTGTAAATCAGTTTATTAAAATAAATCATTCTCACTCAGTAAGTCACTTAACCATCAACAAATAATGTCCATGAGCATTCATTTGTTTCAGAATCATGACTGTTACTTTTTGTTACATATGATAATGACAATTATATAGTCTCTTAATTATGAGATTACCAGTTATGTATAAAATAATTAGAAAATTTGTTTTAAATTACCTCTAGCACATCACTCTCATCGTCACAGCATCATATAAAATATCAACTACCCAAAAATGTAAATAAAGTTCGTTTCATCCATGAACTGGAAATAATGAAAGAAACATGGAAACCCATTCACTTTGAGTATGTCTTGTCGTCCACATCGTCTTGTATCTTGTTCATTAGATGGTGGAGATTGGTTCTCTGTGGCGGGAGCAGACAGTTATTCTCTTCTTCTTGCGGAGGTTTGGTTGTCAGGTGTGTCGGTGGATGGCAGCGGAGGTCAGTAAACTGGAGAAGAACCTGAAAGCAAATGGTGTCGCTCTGATCGGCATCGGACCCGAAGAGACGGGAGTGAAGGAGTTCAAGGATGGGGGATTCTTTAAGGGTGGTGAGGATTTGTTACGTAGCTTGGTTTATATTTTAGTGTTGTTCCTAATTTCTTAGTTTTACACTAATGTTGCTCAAATATAGACTATAGTAAAAAATCTAATAAGTTCATTTTACCATCAAAATGCATTTGATTACATTTTGACCCAGAAGAGATGCTTAAACATTTCTAAAAATCCACTGTTTTTAGTATAGGAACCACATTTTGGAAATGTGTCAAGACTTTGAAAAACACAAGATTTTTTAAATTTCTTTTTTTTACCTTCAAAGGTCAAGACAGCCACCCACGGCTAAAATTAACTATTGTTCTTAAATGTTTAATACGTTTTGAACCACTAATCCAATCAAGTCTCTTAAAAAGGAGATTATCTGTGTAGCGTCTGGACACGTTCTTAGAATTGACAGACAGTTGACCCTGAGAGGTCAAGTAAATATCTACAGCGGATCTAAATATTTATAATTAATTATAACTAGTTATGATTAATTATTCATATTTCCCCATGAGCTGATTCGCTACATCTGCTTTTCGGAGATATTGCATTTGTCTCATTTGGACATTCATAGGCTCCGTAGTGAATGTGATAACGTCATGACATTTTGATCAGCGTTAATTCATCAAAAGAAACCTATGCATTTTGTTCCTCTGAGCCAAACAAATGCTTACAAATGCTACAAAAATGATGGTAAATACCGTGACAGATCACTGTATTGCCTCAGTTCAAGCGGCATGTGAACCGATCGTCTCTTCCTCTTTACTAGTTATAGCATGAAATAAACATTTACCTTCTGATTTTACCTTCTGAAAATCAGAAGGTATCTTGTTTCAACTGCGGAAAGACATCAATACACACCATTTTTCAAGTTCAAGTCCACTGACGTTAATTTACTCTCCTGTCTGATTTGTTTGTTGGACAAAATGGTGGATTCGGCGTTATGATTGGTCAGATCGCCTGTCACTCAAACTCCCTGCGAAGGGTCAATTAGCATATTTCTTTGGAAATTTGAACAAGCGCAAAGTGAAAGTAAACTGCGCTGTGCGTGCATGAAAACCGTTACAAAATAACACATTTGCATGAGAGCACTCTCTGACAAAGCACAGAAAAACACACGATAGAGCACTTTGACATTAAAGGGGTCCTATTATGCTCTTTTACAAAGTCTTGATTTTGTTTTGGGGGTGTACTAGAACATGCTCTCATGCTTGGTGGTTCGAAAAACGCATTATTTTTCACATAATTTACATTATTAAAATCCCTTTCTCCCCAGCCTGCCACAAACGGCTCGATTAGTTCCGGCTTTGATGAAGGTCTGCCTTCCGAAAAACAAAATGTGTTGTGATTGGTTAGCTGTCCCAGTGCGTTGTGATTGGCGAACAGCTTAGACGGTGTTTCAGTACTGCCATGCCCCTTGCTCCGTCTTTCAACAAAAACTTTTGGCGAATCCAGCACTGTACTCCCTCGTGTTGTGGAAGCTATCCTCAGTAAAATGCACAGCACACAATAGCAAATTGGGGTTATAATGCTCAGGGAACGAGGTAAAAATTAAATTGCAACCACCGTTTCCTGACATCATCCGCTTTCGGAAGCCCAAACAAAGACGTTGGGGCACGGAGGTGAAAAAAACAGC